TAAATTGAAGTGTTGAGGGGACTGACTAGATCAGTGCCCTTTTCCCAAGATACATTATAATGGCTTTCACGTCTATTTAACTCTGTCAGGCCCTGGTTTGTTGTTGTTGTTGTTATTAACAGGACAGCCTACTCTGACCAAAGAGATGCCTGAGCCAGTCAGTGATTTTACTTGTCCTTGGGGATAGAGAGTCTAGTTTTTCAAAGTAATTTCTTCAGTTTAAACTGATGTGCTACAGACTACTAATCTTCAAAGTCTTATTTATTTATTTTGTCATCACCTAAAAATTACTAAGAAAGTAATAGAGAAGGTGTTTCGAGTTCCATGAAGGATAAATGATTTTGCTAAATGAAGTAAATATATAAATTATTTAGATAAAATAATTTTTAAAAGTTCAGTGTCCTTTTTTCAAAATGTCTTTTCAAAGGATCTTTAGTAGGGGGGAGGGGTACAGCTGGCCAGATTCCTTCTCCTGCAGTGCACTTTACTTGTCAGTTCCTTATCGTTATAGTGGAGTCCAAAAATTACATCTGTGCCTGAAGAAAAATCATTTGTATAGCAGTGGGGAAGTGCACAGAGCAGGGGCTATTCTTCTGGGATAATGGCCTCAGCTGATTGGTGGAACAGAAAGGCATTCTTCCAAAGCTGGAAACTTTCTGGGGGTATCTGGAAGGGGAGAGAATAGACTATCAATCCCTGGGTTCCCCCAGGGGCAGGCTTGACCCAGGGAGCAACCCGCTAGTGGCCCCTGACTGGAAAGCAGTGCTGTATCGTTCTCCAGCTAGCGTGCTAAAATGAAGGTAGGCTTCAACTCCCAAACTATTTTTCTAGTGCTAAGACTTTCTTTCAAATTCTTAGTGCCAGAAATGAACACCTGTCCTTGGCCTGAGCTGGTTTCTGATGTTGCTTCTTTTATTTATGCAAACGTATAAAACTTAAAAATACATTTTGTCACTATTATCCAAATGCTTTGGTTGTGTTACCTAATGTGCCCCGCTCTCTTCTTATTTTATTAAAACAAGCAGAAATGGCAGATCCTAGTTAATTAAGAGCTTTATTGGATTTAAATTTATGCTTGCTTACACGTTTTTGGCATTGTTATCTATGTGGGTTTTTATTACTTCCTTTCCACCTTCTAAAGATTTATTACTGTAGCTTTCTCTCTTTCTTTTTCCATTATTGTCACATACCTTGTAGCAGTTTTAGACCAAAAGTAAGAAAACACTTCACTAGTTCTTGATTATGAGTTCACTAAAGGTCAGAAGAACCAATTGCATATTTGTCAGTATCTTACCAAAATATGCAGAAATATATTTATTTTAATACACTTCAACTTAATAAATACTTAAACTATATAAATGTCATGCAGGACCTAATCTCCTTGGTTCTGAAGTAGAGGCAGGTGATTCCAAAATTACTGCAAGACTGAACATGAAAATTGAGTCTAAAACAGATTAAATAGCGTGTAAAACCAGTGAGCAAATCTATTTGGTGGTTAAATCATAAAACAAAAAATAGCTAAAGCATCTGTGACATTTTTTAAAGCAAACAGCTTAAGTGTCAAATATTTTTACACTTTTTCCTAATTTAAAAGTTTTCCAGATTACCTGGCTTGAATCCAGAGTTCTTGTTATGGCTTACTGCCTTGTACCTACCATATTTGCCCTGTTTTCTCAGCTTTAAGTTTACTTTTGTCAGATGAACCTGGGTTGTTTACAGTGTGGATTGAAATATGCATGTAACTCAATTCAGTAAGGAAATGAATTAATAAACCATAAAATCAAGTATGGTTTACATGTTCAAACACTTGTGGTGTTTTCACAGTGAAGTCTTTGACACACAAGCCTCTAATACAATAGAGCTTACCAAAAAGAAACCCAATGATTTACTTTAATAAAATGGTATTGCTGTTTTTTGAGTTGTTGTTGTTGTTGTATCTTTGTCTTAGTTCTAGGCAATAAATTACAGGACGATAAATTAGAAATTCATACTGAAATAATTAATTAAGATTTAGGAGTCATGAACTATGCTCCCGTGTACTTTCTCTCATGGATTTGGGAGATTTTAGAGGAGATTTAAAATTCATTCTGTGCCACGTAAATTATGAGAAATTGGGATTGTAACAGGGAAGTCTGGCCTTTTAAGACATCCCTGGGTTAGGAGCCCAGCTGTGGGTGATTAGCTAGCAGTTAAAAGCCTGAAGGGAAAGAAAGCAAGCAGCTGGACCTGGGGAAGGAGTAGCTGTGGCCAAGAGGCAGACTGAAACCAAGATGGGCTTGCTTCTAGGAAAGACCAGAATTAAAAGGCCCACTCCTACCTTCTGGAGAAAGGCAAAACGTTTTTCACCTTTGCTTGCTTGTTTGTTTGCATCAACGGTTATTGTTTGTGTTATCGACTATTGTTTGGACTGACTGAAGGATTTTTAAGAGGACAAAGCCTGCCAGCAGAGAGGTAGGCACACCAATCCATGTACAAAGATGCTACTATCCATGATGACATCTGAGAATGTTCTAGTCATTGAGAACCCACTGTTGCATGATCCATAATGTTATAAAGGGTTATTTTGGAAGTGTACTGTAACTAAATTTAAACATTTACTGAATAATTGTCATCATGAATCATGTGTTAATTACTGGAGTAATCAAAAAATATATCGCCTTTTTAGTAGCAGACTTAATCTATTCAGTGATCTGACTTCATTTTTCTGTTCTTAAATTGTAAACCCTTTGAGCAAAGGCTGTATATTGAACTTGCTCAGTAAAACATCAAGTGCTTTTCTAGTGTAGAATAAATCTTTAATGCTACTTTCTTTTAAATAAATTGATAATGTATTGAAGTTTGGTCCTAAGGCCAATGCTGAAAGTTTTTCTCAAAGGCTCAAGGTAAACTAGTTCTTGTCTGGAAATTCATGCACTAATCCAAACAATTGTTTAAATCACCAACATTGTTCAAAAGAATGGAATTCCACCTCCCGGATACCAGGTACAGTCTCCACTCTCTTCTTGGGCTAGCATGAGAGTATATTCCCTCTATACGTAAAAGGGAAAATGTATTAGATCTCCATTTATTGAAGTCTTATGTATGCAGCACTCCAAACAACTGGTATGGGGGGCAGGGGGGATGAAAGAAGCTTCTCTGTTTTCCATTATTTTAGTACAAATGCTTCATAAGCTTTAGCTTATTTATCCTGTTTAAATTTTTCGTTATTTTAGGGAAGTGACTAAGTAGCAGTTCGTGTCCTCCCGCCCATTAAACTTTTTTCAGTGTGCTTTGATTCTTTCAAAAGAATATTTTCACAAATCTGCTCATTTGCTATATATGGAACTCAAGAGTTTCCCATTTAGACGGGCACATTGAATATCCCTGACACTGTTAGGTATTTTTCACTTTGGCTTTCCAGTTAGTTTATGTAGGAAATTGTCTTTGCCATACAGGAAAACCAAACAAGATAAGATGTAAGGGTAGAGTTTAAGTAGGCTGCAATTCCATTAATTTTTAAGAAATCTCTACCCAGAAATAAATTGTAGAGTTCAGGTTATCCTACCATTTGATGGCTAGACATCTACTTCCAACTCCAATTTATCATGGAAGTCAAGTCCCCTATTGAACAAGTACCTGTACTGGCCAGCTGCCATCTACTAAATTGCAGTAGCTTGAACCCTTCTTATCTAGTTATTGATCCACTTAGACCCTTGACCTGCCTAAAGGCAAATGGGAAAAAAACCAGAGTGAGCAAAAAAAATTCCTTTCTAACCCCAAAAGAGAAAATAAAAGGTTGCTAACGTGGCGGGTTATAGCATTCAGCCCTGTTCTTATCCCAGGTATAAGAGGGCATGGGCTTCTGATCTGGGGCCCTGGGTGAATTGCCACTGCTTATGCATCTCTGGTTCTAGTGCTTTTTCTCTTTTCTCCTTCCACCCAAACCAGAATAGAAGGGGCATCTTAAGATATCCATGATACTTCTCACCAATAAGACAAAATCCTCTCCTGCCTTGTATGTTGTGTGATTTCCTACTGTAATGTACATGTGGTAATATAGCTTGCAAGCACATTTTATTTAAGTTTAAAGAAAATACATAGTTCCTTTGTGGTATAATAATTGTATTTGTTGTCCTTGTCTGTTTAAATCATTTTCTTTTACAAAGTAATTGAATATACACACCTCAGTTTTGCATAGCTCTCTTAATTTAAAATGTCCTGATAGAAAAATCTCATAATCATTCTTATATGAATGCAAGTTTTGTGTGTCCATTTGTCTCTTGAAATCGTGGAGGAAATTGCCATTAATATTGCAACTTTATTTTTAAAAAGTACTTGGGGAATATACTGCACAGTATCTAGAAACAATAACAGGAGCTTCCAAGGAGCTGTTTTGGTAGTCGGTGACCTTATGCATGTTTTGGCTACCCTCTTTTCTTGTAGCAACACAACTCACTCCATATTTGAGGGGTGTGTGAAGCCTGTTGTTGGTCCCTGGAAATTCCTTTACACCAGGGAGCTTCTCATGTATCCAGTTGTTGCATATAGAGCATTTTGTGTGATAGAAAACAACCTGAGCAAAAAGCAGGATTTGTTTCAGAAACTAGAAAACTTAAAATATTTGTTACAGAAGTCCTGAGGGAGGGATTTGCAAAGGTTCAGGCAATGTTAAGCACCCACTTCTCCCTTTGAGCTCTGTCCCTGATTCCCCCATTCTTTTGCTTTATAACATTTCCCTCTTGAACTCCTAGAGAAATCCTTTCTCTGTTACAGTTATGTTACTCAAACAGAAACTTTATTTGTGTTTGAAAATATTAGGTAAGTTTTCAGCGTCATAAAGAATGATTGCTTTGCAGAAATATACATAAGTGAAACATTTCTAATCTTGTTACAGTACTCAGTAATAAGAAAGGAAATGCTGTTTGTTTTAGCATTAACGCCTTCATTTCCTTGCAGGGAATTTCATTATTTTATTGAGCATTTTGTACTTTCTCAACAAGCATCTTTCTTTTTATCTTAAGGTGATGGTATTTGTTCATGCTAGAAATGCCACTGTACGAACTGCTATGGCTCTTCGTGAGAAAGCAAAAAATAATGGACATATTTGCCACTTTTTGCCAACACAAGGACCTGATTATGGGCAAGCTGAAAAACAAGTAAGTGGTTTATTTTTAATGATCTTGCTTCAAGTTCCAAATGGTCTGGGCTTTTTTCTACTGGGAAAATGATGTCTCTTGAGGCACAACGCAGTCGGTGAGGTACACTGTTTTCCTCCCTCTGCCAGGAGGGATGGAAAGACATTTGACTGTACTGAAGTGAGTTGCACTTTGGAAGGAAGTGCATATATGGAGGTTGGCGGAGGTGGGAGGAGTGTCTGGAAATTGCCTTTTTCCCATATCTCATCATGCATAAGAAGCCCTCAAGAAAGGAGATGTGCTGCTTTCTGAAGAGAAAAGATAAGAATTGGTTGTGCTGGAATACCCTACCCTCCTAGCTTCTTTTGGGAGCCTTATATCATTACATGGTTAGGGGAGGATGATAGCTGGCTCCCATGTCTATTTCCCTTTTCCCCATGGTGATTTAATTTTTTCCCATGCCACTTCATTATTTTGCATTTTAAGTTGACCAAGCATTATTTTTTGTAGTTCTGAGAGTAAGCTGTGTTTTGAGGACACTCTGGGTCATTTTTTTGTCATTGGAAAATAGTTTTCTCTTACTGAGACAAATTAACATAGGGGGATGTGGTTGTTTTAATTCTTCAGAGCATCATTGAGGCATAGTTGAGATCATGACTGTGATTCTGAAGTCCATCATTTAAAAATGATAAAGGTATGGCAGGACAGCACTTCACCCTCTCTCTGAAGGAAGGTGTGGCTATCACAACTTCAGCAAGAGCCTAGTTGTGAGTGAAGCTAAAAGGTCCAGAAATCTGGTATTTGAGGTTTTAGCTGGTTGACCTTCTGCCTGTAAGACAGATCTACAAACAAGAACCCCCCTCATATTCCTTAACCCATTTCAGGTCCCTCATGGGGGAGAAAGTTAGAGCACTCAGAGATTAACAAAGTTCTGATTATTGGTTATGTGATGGAGCCTTATAACCTGGCAATAGACCTAATTAAATACCTGGTATAGAAAATGGGCATGGTAAGATTAACTCTTCTCAGAATTTAGTTAATTTGGACCATGTCACTTAAACTTTGTTCCATTGCATCTTACTTTCACCTGTGAGTTCTAAGAATTGGACATTTCTAGCTACAGAAATAGCTTGGATAGATTTGTTTTCTAGGATTCAGCTCAGTAGGCTTTTACTCTAAATGAGTATTGCTCCATTTGCAATTCACAGAGCACATGTCAGTACCATAAAAGTGCACTATAACGCAGTCATTCTCAAGAGACTTAAGGCATCTTTCCATAACTTTTGTGAACTGAGCAGCATTCTATTTCAAAACTAACTGATGTATTACATTCCTCACCTCCTTGTAGAGGAGCAATGGCCAGGCAGGGATGAACCTGAGCCTGTGCTTGATTTAGCACATGCTTGTTTTCTATACAATAGCAGTTATAGATCCACTTTGTTTGTCCAATATAGTTTTCAAAGGATATTTATGGGTATACGTTGTCAGAATTACAAATGTTTTTAGAATAAACTTTATCTTAAAGAGTTTCACTCTATTTTGTGTGAAATTGTCCTGGGGTTATTTATCCTATACTAATTGTACTTTTTAAAATTAGAGACAGCAAATGCTTCATCATTTTCTTTTACCAGTCTTGGTGATAATTGCAGTTTAATCCAGATTGTATCATTATTCATTTGTTTGCTTGTTTGTTTGTTTTAAAAAGTTGCCCTCAACTCCCTTATTGTTTAATTTTTTCAACATTTGTGTTCCAGTTAGTAGATGATTAGTAATTTGTTTTAGCTTAAGGTACATTTTACAAGTTTATATTTAATAAAAGCTAAAAAAGATTATGTTGGATAATGTGTTTATTTTAAAAAATATTATAAATAGCCCATTATAGTCTATCATCAGTACAGGAATATTATTGAAGTGGAACTGTTTTCTGATGCAGATATGTACTATATGTTACAAAGACCACTTTTTTTTTTAACTTAGTCATTAGATTGTGGTTCATCAATGCAGTTAAAGGGAGAACAGTGCAATGATTATGCATTATGTTTCACTTATTAAAAATGAAAGGTATTACACAGACCTTGACACTCTTTAAACCCTGAATACTGTTTTTTGTTAGTCTAAGGCTGGTGTCTAAACTGTAATATAATCAAAAGTTACTGTTCTTATAGAAGTAGGGCCTGTATGTGTATCTGTATTCATGGGTATACAGAGGTGTATGGTAACCATAAAAATTATAAATTCAAAGTAGCAGTGGATGAACTTGAAATGACTGAGTTTGGTTAGAAAACTCAGTTTGGTTCAGTTTGCCTTCTGCTATGTACAGGTGTTACATTTGTACTGGGAAAATTGCCATTCTCCTAGTAGAAATGACAAGTATACAAGTGTTCATTCAATTTCTCCCAGGGGAGACATGCCCTTTCCAGGAAAAAGATTTTCCATGAGCTCCCTAGCAAGAAAAACTCTCTTGCAAGAATAAACATTTGTACACTCCCTCCCCCATCTAATTTAGTAGGCAGTGTTTCCTACCTCTTCCCTAGACTGGCTGGTTTGGGAAACAGGACTAGGGGTTTAGCCCCACTATTCCTCTCCTTTCGTAGACCTGTGCGAGAGGGGACTGGAGCAGTAAAGTAAAGCCCCCTACCTGCTCTTTAAACTGGGGTCCCCGGTGGGGGGGTGGGGGGATGCCTGGCTGTTTGCTGACTGCCTGATGTGATCTCTCCTCTTTTTCCACTCATCCAAATCCAGCCCTTGTGATGACTGTGGATTAGGTCTGGCTGAGCAGAGAAGGACTTTTTCTCAGCTCAGCCAGATTCACCTGTAATCATGGTGGATGGGTCTGGCTGAGTGGGGAACCCCAACTTCTCCACTTATGGAGAGGCACCCCAGATTCCCTGGGGTACCTCTCTGTAACTCCCCCAGCTGAGAGCCCAGTCAGTTGATAGAGTTCCCAGTCATGAGAGTGCAGAGTCCTCTCCTGTGGTTGGGAGCTTCGAACATTGACAGGGCTCCCAGCTGCAGGAGCAAAGATTGCTGGTGCAGGGGGAGCCCAGGAGCATGATCCCAGGCTCCTCCAGCAGCGACAGCATGACATGATGGGATTGCACGTGTCATGGCAAGAGGCACAATCATTTGGGATCACACATCAGATCCCATTGTGCCTTCTTTTTAACATCTGTCACTGGCCTACATAATAAATTTGATTGAAAATATCTTGCAAACCTTATTCACTAGCATGTTTTTCTGTGGAAATCATCACCATATGTTCAACTTATTTGCCGTCATTGTATTGATTTAGTTGAAATGAGCCTATGAGCTTTCTCCATGCTTTAGTGATTAGAGCAGGAAAATTTAGGGACTAGAAGATTTTTAAGTACATTTGAAATGTGTCATTGTGCAGATGGAGTCGCTTGGATTTGGGCAGGTTAAGGTGACCTCAGAGGCATAAATTAACAGTAGTGGATAAAAATATTTAGATAAAAGCATATCTGAATGCTTATTAGGTCCAAATAGCTGCTGTATCTGAAATATAGCATTTTCTGTTTTTGAAGGGCATATGTCCATTCTAGTAAAATATGAGGGTGACACTGAAATAATTAGTGATATCAAATTTCCCTGCTGTTCCTCTATTTTGTAATATATGCATTTGTTTGGACTGAATCCAAACATATATTCTGTATTGGAATTTGGTTTGAGGATTACAGCACCAAGTGTTTATCTGAAAAAATTATTTCAGATAAACTGACTTTGTTTTAAAAGATTTATTTGGAAGTGTTCATACCTAAGTTCTTTAGTTTTTTCTAATAAAGCAAAGATTTCTTTATAGTGATTTAAAATTGAGTAAATCCTTCTATTAAGTTTCATAAGAACTTTTGATTTAATTGACTTTAATCACTGTGTTGTTGTAGTAGGGAAAATTATTTCTTTACTGTTTACTCTGAAAGTTTGAGAACTGTACAGTAGAAAATATAATTGAACTATGGATGTTATTGTGAAGATTCATTTCATGTACTATAATATAACATGAAACTATGGTTTTCATTATATTACCTCAGATTCTTGGGAAACTAAGCTAAACTAGGTACCAACATTTTCTGAAAACAAGGGAAAAAAAGCTTTAAACTAGTTTATTTTGGTGCTCAATAAATTTGAGTCTACAGGACTAGAAATTCTTTGACGTGTGTAAAAAGCTGTCACCATAGGAAGTCTAGTCATTATATTAAAGATATTATTAATCATTTTTGGAAGTGTGGCTGAATATTTGCATTCAGGATTTCATTTTAAAACTCTAATGAATATAGATTGTGATGCATTGTGTCTAAACTTGTAGAATAATATAAAATATCTAACAATATCAGATGGGTTTCTTATTTTAGATGGTATTACCTACTGTGAAAAATGCTAATCAGATTTGCAGTATGTAGCACAGTAAGCAAAGATTTTACTATTAGGGGTTGAGAAGTTGCTTGGTTTTGTTTTTTAAGATAAAAAGAACTGTGTTTAAATTTAAAATATGTAAAGGTGTTAATATAGGAATTTGTATGTATACCCAGTCGTTTCTCTTCCAACTAAAGATATGTAATGGCTCACTCTGCAACCATTGCTCATATAAATAATCCTATGAATATTCCAATTGACTTCATGTAAGAAAAGCAGTTACTTAATGTGAACGTAGGCTGGAGTTTGTATGCTTCCAGGTTATAAATATAAAAATATTTGAAAAATGTGATGTATTAAGTGTTTTACTTTTGCTTATGTGTAGCATTTACTGTAGAGCAGAAAGCAAAGCATGTATATAATTAATTTTATAAAACATACTGTAATTTGATAAATGGTTTCATAAAATGTTCACAAACTTTATAATGTCTGTGGCTAATAATGAAATTAGTTTGCACATTTTACGCTGTCCTAGATTCAAGTGCATTTCTGCATTAACTGTTCTCTCTATTTATGCATATTAGTTTTTATTAGTAGATGAACAAAAGTAATGCACATTTTAACCTAGTTTTATGAGAATAAAATGTAAA